AAGCTCCCACAGCTTTATTAGGTCTAACGAACCTACATAAGCAGAAAGCTTTACTTTTTCAGATCTTCATTTTTACTCAGTTCCTATTTTTATTAATAACCAAACGCAAAGAGGTTGTAAATATTTTTAGTCTTTATTTCTATCCTGTTACTATTTCTATTTTTGCCGAGATCAAAGTCTAGATTCATCCTCAAATGAGTTCATGTGCCTTTCCTGCTCCTGTTTCAAAATACGGACTGCGTAGTCTTTATAATTTTATTCCATGATGACTAGCTTAGATTTAATCATATACACAAGCCTCGGTAACTCCATAAACAAATCCATGTGAGGATAAAAGAAAGACCATAGGCCCAGTCTTGAGTACAAAAGCCTTTATAGTTTTCTCCTTTTTAGAAGTTTCTGAGGTTTGTAACTGAACACAGTGGACTCTGGTTAAAAATTCATGATTCTTTTTTAAATAACACCATTTCTCTTTTTATGGATCTGTCAGTCCATAAGGATCCCTATTTAACAGCATAAATATTTACATTCAAAAAACATGACTACAAGGTGAGGTCACTGGATTTTAACAAATACACCTGAATTTATCCATACAAATAAATGATGTCTCCCTTAAATAGGTAGCAACATTCCAAGGATATTGCTATTGTTCAAAAGGATTTTGGAACTTCAATGAGGAACTGCCTTTCTTCACACGCTGAGGGAATTGCTTCAATTATCCTTAATGGTTAAAAATATATGTGTGTTTCTCATCAGTATAAACTTCATTTTCAGAAACAACCAAATCACTCAGTAAAGCAAACGGTAATTAACTGGATAGAACTGCTTTAGCCTAAATAAGAAGTGACTAAAATATAAGAAGACTAGCTTTTTCTTTAATATGATTCCTTAATTATTTTCAGTGGTAATTCCAAAAAAATTTCCTAAAATATTTAGAACAATAGCAGTATAGTTGAAAGAAGTATCTAGACCTCCAAAGCAACTCCTGAAAAGGAGGACTTTCCTGTGAATATATGGAGGATTTGGGTTGTGGGTTTTTTTTTTTTAAGATTTTATTTATTTATTTGAGAGGGAGAGAGAGACAGAAAGAACATGCGTGGGGGAGGAGCAGAGGAATAAGGAAAGGGAGACGCAGACTCCCTGCTGAGTATAGAGTCACCTAGGCAGGGCTTGATCCCAGGACCCCCAAGATCATGACCTGAGCTGAAGTCAGACACTTAACCAACTGAGCCATGGAGGGTTTGGTCTTGTTTTAAGAAAAACAGGCTATCCTACTTGATTTTCACAGAAACCCATGTTAACAATGACTAGATTTGGGAGTTGGCTGTTTTTCAGCTTATGCCAGGATATAATCTAACAATTTGATCTTTGGAGTGAACAGAAGGGCAAAATCCAAAATACCTTAATAGAACTCTGCTTTTATGATATCTTCCAAAACAAAATGTTCATATGGCTATATAATCTGAAAGTCAATGTATATGCTAAGCCTAAGAGATAAAAGTATATTCAATGTACATATGGATATTAACAAAATATTCAAAAATTAACTCTGCTCTTTAGAATTTATCCTTTTGGTTTCAAAGTGTTATTTTCCAAAGCTAATTTCTTTTTTTTTTTTAAGATTGATTTTATTTATTTATTTATTTATTTATTTATCAGAGAGAAAGAGAGAGAACACAAGCAGGGGAAGTGGTAGACAGAAGGAGGAAGAGGCTCCCCACTGAGCAAGGTCCCCCCCCCCCCCATTGTGAGACTCATCCCAGGACTCTGGCATCACAATCTGAGCTGAAGGCAGACACTTAACCAACTGAGCCACCCAGACATCCCTCCAAAGCTAATTTCATTAAGCATGTTTATGATTGGGTTGCAAAAATAGAATGTACTAGAATGTTGGGCACTGTACAAATTGATTTAAATGAGTTTTGTATGTCACCCACATAGAGATAAATAATATAGGTAAGTCTGTATTTTATTTTTGTATTTCTGTTGATGAAAGGGAGAAGGAAATTCTTGTATGCTGGGCACCTATTGTACACAAAGACTGAACAGGTTACTAATTTAATCCTCTCCACATCTCTGAAGTAAATACTTTTAGCCCCATTTATAGGTGAAGAAACTGAGGCTTGGGGAATTTAAACAGCAGAATGCTGGCATACCACTGGAAAGTAGAAGAAACGCACTCAGAATTAGCTGACGGGGGCAGAGAGAAAAGTCAAAGATCACACTCCTGTGGTTTTTTTTTTTTCTCCCCCCAAAAACTGATGCTATCATTCCACCTAATTTTTTTCCATTGATCTCAAAATTCTTTGCCATAATTTTCTGCAAAATGAAATAGTGCAATTACCTCCCGATCTGGGAAAATAAAATATTCAATGAATTTTTATTGAGTTATTTATATAAGGAACCTTTGGAAACCAGTTAAGTGCTTGAACCGGTTAAGTGCTGGGTGGGAGATATAAAAATAAAGCAAGCTAAATGAAGAACTGTTGAAATGAATAAAGCAAATGGAAAAAAAATCATGATTCTGAGTTTAAAAAAACACTCGCAGCCTTAATCATCTATGGAGGTTATAGGTTAAAGATTTAACTTAGGAAAAGGATAAAGAGGAGATCCTTCAAATAAAACATAAGAGGAAGTTGAGAATCAACACCAGGGCATTTCATTTGACCTTAGAGACATATTTAAATTGGTGACTTTTTTTGTTTTTAAGAGTGTTTCTGATTTGTTGTTGCTGTTATTGTTGTTAATGGCCTCAATTTTCCAGTAATCTCCTAGTTTTATTCTGCCTAGTGAAGCTTGTTCATTTTTACCTTTTATTTTCTTGTTCAGCCCCTACTGACTAATAATTTGAAAGGAAAGAAAGTAAAATAAAGCACCTGGTTTAAGTAATGATTTTTTTTTCATTATCCTGATGGATAACAATCCATTTTCCAAATAAATACAGGCTCTATAATTTACTAATATTTTGTGAGGTTCTTACCTTATTTCTGCAGAGTTTCATTCTCATTGTCTTCTGTCTCTCCATTCATCACCCAAAATAACACCCCCCCCAAAATTCTAAAAGGGATTAAAGCTCAAGTGATTGATGTTTTGACAGTGATGTGGCCAAAAAAATTATCTTATCTAGAAATTTTGACTTAATATGTTATCTGAGGAGCTCACAAAATCTCAAAATAAATTGCATAATTCTGGCTTTTTTGGTTTGTTTTCTATAAGTCTGTGTCTGTTTCTAAGCTAAAAGGATATACAGAAACTTGTATGCATTGTTCATCTTAAATTGACATCTTATGAAGCTGCGCTGAGTACAGAATTTTCTTTCACTTCAAAGGGCAGACCACAGGGTACACAGAAAGAAGGAATTGGGTCCTTCCAGCCAAACACTGCCCTCTGGCACTCATACTCAACTCCCCTGGGATAGAATAGGGCAAACTCTGGCCCCTTGTAGCCCTAGGTAACATTTCCCACAACCCCTGACTCATAAATATTGACGTTTGGGAAAAACAAGAGCAGAAAAGAAAAAAAGAGCTTACCCCAGAAAAAAGTTGTTTTCAAGTTGAAATGGTCATATATTTTCTGAAGCCTGATTTATATCGAAGATACTAATATAATTTTAAATAAAATATATCTCATCTTAATACTCAAAATATAGTCTTATCCATCAATAGCCTGAGAATATAGAAAACAAAATTTTTGACAGAATTTTAAAATGTATTTTTCCATCCAGAAAATGGTTTTAACTAACGGACTGGGTTGATGCAACTTTTTCTAAAAGTAATAACATAACAATGTTCTCAGAGAAAACCTTTTTTGCTGGATATCAATTTTTAAATAATTGTGAATTTAAAATTCTTTATTCTCAGCAAAGTCTTTTTTTTTTTTTCCTCTTAAATACTTGTCTCCCCCACAACCACCACCCCAGGCTTCAAAAAACAGAAATAATATTGCTAGCTAAGACCTAAGAGAATTCTTCACAGACCCAGCTTATGTTTTTCCACTGTGGAACTAGAGCACAACCTGGTGGTCATTACTGTCTTTACAATGGTTTATGCCTGTGAATGACCAAAATTAAAAGCCAAAATAAAAGAATGCCTAGAAAATAGCCTTTTAGAAAATAAAGAAAATAAAGTATCAGGAAAAAGAACTGTAGAGTGGCACTCTTAAATCATAATTATGATAGATCTCCTGATAGTTTCTAAAATAATATACATGAAGAATGGTTTAGTAAGGTTACTGATGAGTCTTTGACACACACTGATGCAATTTTAACTTTCATATATTTTCATAATCCCCCTTTTTATGACTTTTCCAATTGTGTCAATAATGCTTCAAAAGCAAAAGCATTTAAGGGCAAAGATATCTTTAATAGGTGACAAAGTAAACTAAACATTTTATCAGCCGTGGCAGAATTCTTTTCTGCTTTGTGCCACAGGTAATAAGCACCATCAAAAGACCAAAAAGAAAAGATGTACTTGTCATAGGAATTTCCTTAACTGTCAAATTTTAGCCAACAAGAATCTAGTCAAGCAGGCTCATTTCCATTCCTTTTTTTTTTAAGATTTTATTTATGTATTTGAGAGAGAGCGCACACAAGCAGGCAGAGCAACAAAGGCAGAGAGGGAGAAGCAGGCTCCCTGCTGAGCAAGGAGCCTGATGCAGGACTCTATCCCAGGACCTAAGAAGAAGGCAGACATTTAACCAACTGAGCCCACCCAGGTGCCCCAGACTCATTTCCATTCTTAAAAGCGTTCTTAGAATTGTTTCCTCTAGAAGCAAAGACAATTTTATATGCTTTTCTTTCACAGCTAACAATACCATTGATGCAAGACCTTATGGACAAAATGGTGATTCACAGTATCTATTATCATTATGTGTTTTTAGAACTTTACATTCATTCTCTTATTTAATCCTTTTAATAACCCTATGAAATTAATGATCAGTATCTCCCTCTTACAGAGTATGACACTAAGGCTTAGAGATATAACTTGTTCAAGGTCACTCACCCAATGAGTGACAGAACCAAACCCTTCTCCAAGGCCACGCTCAGGCTCTGGCACATCATAGGTCCTCAAATATTGGTTGACTCAGTGAACAAAAACACCTGTTAGAGGATAGTAAAGGTAAGCCTGTATTAGATCCAGTCCTTTGACTCTCCATCTGGTCATTTATTCAACAAGGTTTAGACATACTTTGACTTTTCTCTTGCATCCGCATGCAGTTGTACTCTTCTGAACCTGCAAAGTGCCTTCTATTTTCCAGAAAAGAATAAAGCAGCAGCAGTACCAGGCCAGAGACAGCTAAGCCTCACACCTGAGCTGTTTTATCCATGAGGTACTAACAGGATCTCTATAGTTTTTATGCTACAGATTCCTTTGGAAGTCTAGTGAAGCTTCCGGAACTCTTCCCAAAATAATCTTATTAAATATATTACAAAGCAAACTATTTAAAATATTTTCAAATACTTTTTTTTAAGATTTATTTATTTATTTATTTGACAGATCACAAGTAGGCAGAGCAGTGGGCAGAGAGAGAGGGGAAGCAGGCTCCCCGCTGAGCAGAGAACCCAATGTGGGGCTCGATCCCAGGTCCCTGAGATCATGACCTGAGCTGAAGGCAGAGGTTTAACCCACTGAGCCACCCAGGCGCTCCCATCAAATACTTATTAAAAAGTAATTGGCAATATATGTGCTAATTTATTAATCCATGAAATAATGAGACTAGCATTAGCAGCAGATTTAATAACCACTGTATTGATATAAATGGTATTTTGAGATATCTATAACTACTATAGTAACTTAATATCTGTGACTTCTATTGGCAAGAGAGATAATATTATATTAATATGATATGTGACATTGATTCGTAATTAAAGAAAAAGCCAAATTTCAGTTTGAAGTTAATGAAAATAATTTTTTTCATTCAAGCTCATGCTCCCCTCACTCCTAAAATTAAGAAATCAGGCTAATCTCCATCTATGAAAAACCCAAAGCAAATATTATTCTCAATGGGGAAAAACCGAGAGCTTTTCCCCTAAGGTCAGGAACACGGCATGTCCACTATCACCACTACTATTCAACATAATACTAGAAGTCCTAGCCTCAGCAATCAGACAATAAAAAGAAATAAAAGGCATCCAAATTGGTAAAGAAGAAGTCAAATTCTCACTCTTTGCAGATGATATGATACTTTATGTGGGAAACCCAAAAGACGCCACCGTAAAACTGCTAGAACTCATACAGGAATTCAGTGAAGTGTCAGGATACAAAATCAATGCACAGAAACCGGCTGCATTTCTATATACCTACAATGAGACAGAAGAGGGAGAGATTAAGGAGTTGATCCCATTTACAAATGCACCCAAAACTTAGGAAAATATACTTAGGAATAAATCTAACCAACGAGGCAAGGAATCTGTACTCAGAAAACTCTAAAGTACTCATGAAAGAAATTGAGGAAGAAACAAAGAAATGGAAAAACATTCCATGCTCATGGGTTGGAAGGACAAGCACTGTGAAAATGTCTATGCTACCTAGAACAATCTACACATTTAATGCAATCCTTATCAAAGTACCATCAACTTTTTTCAAAGAAATAGAACAAATTGGGGCACCTGGGTGGCTCAGTCATTAAGCATCTGCCTTCGGCTCAGGTCACGATTCCAGGGTCCTGGGATAGAGCCCTGCATTGGGCTCCATGCTCAGCAGACAGCCTGCTTCTCCCTCTCCCATTCCCCCTGCTTGTGTTCCCTCTCTCTGTGTCAAATAAATAAATAAAATCTTAAAAAAAAAAAAAAAGAAATGGAACAAATAATCCTAAAATTTATATGGAGACAGAAAAGACCCCAAATAGCCAGAGGAATGTTGAAAAAGAAAGCCAAAGTTGGTGGCATCACAATTCCAGACTTCAAGCTCTATTACCAAGCTGTCATCGTCAAGACAGTATGGTACTGGCACAAAAACAGACACATAGATCAATGGAACAAAACAGAGAGTCCAGAAATGGACCCTCAACTCTATGGTCAACTGATGTTCGACAAAGCAGGAAAGAATGTCCAATAGAAAAAAGACAGTCTCTTCAACAAATGGTTTTGGGAAAATTGGATAGCCACATGCAGAAGAATGAAACTGGACCATTTTCTTACATCACACACAAAAATAGACTCAAAATGGATGAAAGACCTCAATGTGAGACAGGAATCCATCAAAGTCCTTGAGGAGAACACAGGCAACAACCTCTTCAATCTCAGCCATAGCAACTTCTTCCTAGAAACATCGCCAAAGGCAAGGGAAGCAAGGGCAAAAGTGAACTACTGGGACTTCATCAAGATATAAAGTTTTTGCACAGCAAAGGAAAAGTCAACAAAACCAAAAGAAACTGACAGAATGGGAGAAGATATTTGCAACTGACATATCAGATTAAGGGCTAGTATCCAAAACCTACAAAGAACTTCTCAAACTCAACACCCAAAGAACAAATAATCCAATCAAGAAGTGGGCAGAAGACATGAACAGATATTTCTGCAAAGAAGACATCCAGGTGGCCAACAGACACATGAAAAAGTGTTCCACATCTCTCCGCATCAGGGAAATACAAATCAAAACCTCAATAAGATACCACCTCACATCAGTTAGAATGCTAAAATTAACAAGTCAGGAAATGACAGGTGTTTGGGAGGATGTGGAGAAAGGGGAACCCTCCTACACTGTTGGTGGGCATGCAAGCTCATGTAGCCACTCTGGAAAATAGTATGGAGGTTCTGCAAAAAGTTGAAAATAGAGCTACCCTATGACCCAGTGATCGCACTGCTGGGTATTTACCCTAAAGATACAAATGTAGTGATCTGAAGGGGCACGTGCACCCGAATGTTTATAGCAGCAATGTCCACAAAAAACAAACTATGGAAAGAGCCTGGATGTCTATTAACAGATGAATGGATAAAGAAGATTATACACACACAAACACACACACACACAAAATGGAATACTATGCAGCCATCAAAGAAAATGAAATCTTGCCATTTGCAATGATGTGGATGGAACTAGGGGATATTAAGCTAAGCGAAATAAGTCAATCAGAGAAAGACAATCATATGATATCCCTGATATGAGGAATTTGAGAGGCAGGGTTGGGGGTTCTGGGTGGAAAGGAGGGAAAAATGAAACAAGGTGGGACCAGGGAAGGGAGACAAACCATGAGACTCTTAGTCTCACAAAACAAACTGTAGGGGGTGGGGGCTAGGAGGGATGGGACAGCTGGGGGATGAACACTGGGGAGGGTTTGTGCTATGGTGAGTGCTGTGAATTTTGTAAGACTGGTGATTCACAGACCCATACCCCTGAAACAAATAATATATTATATGTTAATTTAAAAATTTTAAGAAAAAAAAATCAGGCTAATCCTAAAAGAGTTCCCTGTAGACAAACCTTTTCAAAAACTAAATTATAAAAAATTCTTAAATTCAAAAAGTGCTTTCAGCAAATATAGTTATTTACATTTATATATATTCCCATTGATTACTAGGTGAGATATTCACTTTAATATGAATAGTCTGATATGAGGCGAGTCTCCAAAAATAAGCATGGCTAGGTTTGGGGAAGGTATTAAAACAGTACCTGAGTTTTATGACATTAATCAGCAAAAAACCAAATGTTTATTGATTGCCTATAATAACTTCATTTGATTTAGCAAATATTTGTTAGCAGCTACTGTGTACCAGACACTCTCCTGAGTATTAAGATATAGGTAAAAAAAATGAATAACTTTGTATTATTTGTTTGTGTAGCACTTTTTAATCTTCAAAGCAGTTCTATATACATCCTTCATTCAAGCCTAATTGTAACACTGAGAGGTAAGCAAAGTCTGGAGACTTACTCATTAATTCTGTATTTCCACAATAAATGCCACTTCAAACACATGGTAGATGTTCAATAAATGCAGATATTGTACTCTGTTCTTACCCCTTAAACAAGCCCCTGAATTAGTGTTACCAGATAAAATGTAAAACACTCAACTAAATTTGAATTTCAAATAAACAACAATTATTTAGTATAAGTATGTCCCAAGCATTATTGTAATATACACTGTATTCATTTAGTGGAGCTGTCATAACAAAGTACTACACACTGGGGTACTGAAACAACAGAAATTTATTTTCTCATAATTCTGAAGGCTAGAAGTCCAAGATCAGAGTGTCAGTAACATTGGTCTCTTCTGAATCCTCTCTTCTTGGCTTGTAGATGTCCATTTTCTCGCTATGTCCTTACACAGTCTTCCCTTTATACCTGTGTCCTAATCTCTTCTTACAGGACACCAATTGTATTAGATTAGGGCCCACCCTAATGACCTCATTCTCTCTTGTCTGTTTAAAGGCTCTATCTCCAATCACTATCACAATCCGAGGTACTGGGGGTGATGGCTTCAATGTACAAGTTTGATGGGGGACATAAGTCAGCCCATAACACACACTAAAACACAGTTGTTTATCTAACATTCAAGTTTAAGTTTAACTGGGCATCCTTTATTTTTATTTGCTTAATGTGGCAGCCCTACCCTAGAGTTCTCTGGATTTCTCTGCCTCAGAGCTCTTTCCACTGCAGAAACTCAACTATGGGTAGAAACGGGCCAGAAATGTAGCGAAAGTCAGTGGGGTGCTAGCCACCAGCAATCAACACTAGATGTCGTTTAAGGGATAAAGGCACCAGCTTCCCTCCATCTCTCTTTGGGAGATAATTATGAGTGTGTGCTACAAAGTCTCCCAAAGGTTCCCAGTGGGTTGGAGCCCCAGCTGCCCATTAACACCCCTTACCTCACATTGGCTTCCTTCCCTTCCCTACTTCTCCTTCCCACACCCCTTCTGCACTTCCTGGAGTCATCTCCCAAATAAACCTTCATATGTACATCTTTGTCTCAGCATCTGCTTCTGAGGGAACTCAACCTAAAACAAAATGCTTATTGAACTACATCTTCATTTTCAGATGAGAGCTTTGGGGAGCATAGCACATGTTGAAGAGCATGGGGGATGAGTGCGCTGGGCCTTCTTTCTTCTATTCTGCACTGCCTCTAATACCAATCATTACATTCCTATCCCATACCACT